GTGGCTACGTGTATCGGTTCATCATACGCCCTGGCAACATGCTGACTGCTGTTATGGTGTAAGTAAGTGCGCTTTTGCTGCTGCTGAATTTCATATTTGCATGCGGAATAGACATTGCCGCTTTGTTAATTTTGGACCAAAATTGGTAATGTTTTCCTTTCTTTACCGAATTTGGTAATTTTTTTTTGAACTTCATATGAATTCTATGTAATGTATGTGGGGGTCGCGTAAATCTTTCAGGACTATCTTCAAACTTTTTTTTTTGATACTTTCGACTACTTGTATGTATGTACATTAGGGTGTTCCAAAAACAGTAAACTCGGAATTGTAATGCCCTCACCCCCTAGGATTGTTCTATATCGAAAAAAGTATACCCCTATTTTTTTATTTTGAAATAAAAAAATATTTAGAGGTCGCTCAAAGCGCTCAAAGTTTTCCATGTATTTTTATATGGGGAAAAACAACTTCTCGTAGAAATGGTATAGAATTCTTGAAAACCAATATTTTTCGATCGGAAAACTCGGGTTCTCTTCAGGAGACTTTCAGTAATAAGACCCAATTGTTTGTTTAACCATTTTTTAATACTAAGGATTTTTATTGGTCCTCCCATTGAATTTTTCGGGGTTTTTGGCGGACCTATAAATTAAAGTTGCGATGAAAAAATGGTTAAATAAAAATTTGAGTATTATTATTGGGAATCTGCTGCAGACAAATTGAGTTCTCTCATAGAAAAATATTGATTTTTAAGAATTCTATACCATTTCTACGAAAAGTTGTTTTTTCCCCATACAAAATACATGGAAAACTTTAGGCGCTTTGAGCGACCTCTAAATATTTTTTAATTTTTGAAATAAAAAAATTGGAATACATTTTTTTCGGTATAGAACAATCCTAGGGCGTGAGAGCATAAAAATTCCGACTTTACTTTTCCACGTGTATTTTTGGACCACCCTAATGTACATACATATATTGGCCACAACTGGACAAATGTTGGTTTTGGTTTTCGGAACTGCACGAGATTTTTTGGAGCACTTTAGGAACATTCGGAATTACTTTTCGACATTTCGTGTTCAATTAGGGAACTTTGGGAAATTTTTATGACTACGAGTGTTATTTCGAACTTATTTTTGAGGATTTTCTAGACTTTTTGAACATTTTGAAGTCTATCGAGAACTGCTGTATAATTTTTATAAAAAAAGGCAACGATTATCCGTTTCCCATTATGCGGTCGCCCCACGGCAGGCAATGGCAAACCTCCGAGTGTATGTATTTCTGCCATAGAAAACAGCTCCTCATAAAAAATACAATCGTCGTTCGGATTCGGCGTAGCAACGTATGTAGGTCCCTTCCCTTTGTGTGACAACATCATGACGCACGCCACAAACCGCAGGAGAAGTTCGGCCAAACACCAACTTTTATTATTATACATATATTGGTTATAACTGGACAAATGTTGATCTTCAAGTGCTCCAGCTTTCGAGGTTTATTCGCTTAAATACGGTCATCCGAGTAGCCTCATAAAACAGTCCAACGAAGTCAAGTCAGATGATCTCGCTGGCCAAGTGACATTCCCTCTACGGGAAATAATGCGCCTGATAATTCTGTGTTGCAAAAAATTGTGTGGCAACACTGTACGGAATGCTATTAGTGTCAGTACATCAGACACATATCAAACACCCTATTTGTAGACGTTTAAGTATTACAGATATTTATGAAAAAAAAAATAAAAATATTTCTCATTCGAGTCGCTTAATTTTTCCTGCCCGGCTACTAATTTTCTGCTGTCATTGCGCTTCTTTTCATTCATTTCTCAGCGCCAACGCTCACGTACAAACATACTTAATATCCATACACATGCTCGCCCGTGTACAGCTTTACCGACACACGCGTTTGCACTTCCTTTATTTATCCTTCATTCATTCTTTTGTTAGCCACTAACTAACTGCAACATTTTTTCTTCAACTTTTTTCTGCTCTATTTTGTTGGTTGCTGTGGCAATTTTCGTTGAAATTATTATAACTATAATATATACACATACACAGTTGTATGTATCATCTCATTTTCCACTTTACAATTTATTTGCTTGGCATTCATTGGCTAACGAGTTTCATGATGCTTAATTTCAGTAAAAATAAATAGCTGTTGGCAATTGAGTGGTGGGTGGCGCATGTGCGGAGTATTCATATTAAAAAAAAAATATTGATTGCATCTGAGTAAATTAAGTATGCAAACTTATTGTATTTAAATTAAGTTATTAATGATATCATGATGGTAAATGCAAATAGCTTTTAAGAACAAAAATCAAAAGTTTAGTGAACTGCCCACCGAAGCTGTTGCTGGAAAATTTAATATTTACTACATATCGTCACCTGAAATGCAAAAAGACGTAACATCATCGTAACTGAAAAGTCGTGGCTAAAATTTTTTATTTTTTTTTTTCATTTAATGACAACTCCAACGTAATTCGATGAAATTCATCATATCAATAAAAAACTGAATTTTGAATTTTTTATTAGTTACGTCTTTTTGTATTTCAGGTGACGATATAAAGATTTAGTAAAATGGAAGAGGTATCAAAAAATTGTACAGCTATGACCCTGTCACAAGATATGTATGTGTAAGAAATATAATGTTTACAGATACCGATCCCTCACTACTTTTGGAATTTGTCAGAGATTCGTAATGGAGATGTTTAGTAACTTTCTTCTAGATTTAAAGTTTCAAGATTTTTTCGGTATTTTCTTGGAGTTAATGATGTTTCCGAGAGGTTTCGGGGCTTCTCAGAATTTTTCCGACACTTCTTGAGGTTTGGTTTGTAATAACTCCGGGACTTTTTGCGATTGTTCGTGTACTTGGAAATTTTATCTGAAAATTTCTGAAAGTTTTCAGGTTCAGTGGTACATTTACATGATCATTTTAAATATCACTTTCTTCTTTTAAAAAATTTCACACACTTTTTTTCAAAATAAAAAAAAATTCTGATTTGAAAAAGTTTGAAATATGTACCCAAATTCCACATAAACTGCCGGCAAAAAGTATTGGCACACCTGCTGTTTTACAATGTATGCAAAAATTTTTATTGTAATACTTTTGCGACATTTTTTATATAAAAATATGGTTCATTCTACAACAACAAAAAAAAATAATAAAATATAATTTCTAAACTTAGTGCAAAATTTTCAAAAAAATTCAGCAAATTTCCATGCAACTTTTAAACTTTTTAATCAGATTTGTTTGATTTTTTTTTTGAGTATGTATACAGATTTGTAGCCCAATCTTATTAGCCAATTTTATTATAAAGTAGAAGTTCTAAGTGGCTACGAATTACCGTTGATTTTTGGCATTTTTTTTTCGAAAATACCCAGTGGGAATATGTAATGTATAGTAATCGAAAAAATGCATTGCATGCATTTACATTTTTTATACTAGAATTCAATGGGGTACAAAACTGCATACTCAAGAAAAATCGAAAAAAATGTAATTAAAAAGTTGAAAATTTGTATGAAAATTCATTGAATTTTCGCGAGTTTTACGCAAATCCTGAAAATTATATTTTCGTGGTTTTGTAGTAGAATGAACCATATTTTTATAAAAATTTAGCGGAAAAATATTGAATAGAAATTGGTGCATATATTGCTGTGCCAATACTTTTTTCCAGCAGTGTACTTACAAATGCCATATTTTTTTTGTCTCTGATTAATAAGTAACCTTACTTGATTCTGTAGACAATTAGACCAGCAGACAATTATTAGATAGTAAATTTTTAAATTTTCGAGGCTTTAAAATGCATAAAACAAAGTGGTATAATCGAGAGCGTGGCACTAGCTATCCTAGCCGAAATATTGAAGTGGAGCTGGCGCAGCCCAGCTAACTTGAAGAAATTGCGTCGACAAGACATACAGAGGAACATGCTAGCTTATTTCACCCCCGGCGTAAGATGAAAAAAAAAATAAATAAAAAATAAAAAAATAAAGCTGTTACACACGTCAAACATATTTTGGTATCAGGAATGCCAAGGCTGAATCCGCCAAATGCAAAAAAAAAAGTCACAAATTTTTAATGGTACTCCCCCAAACGGTTTATTGATTAAGCCATTCTCCTTTCTCCTACAAAGTTCGAATTTCACCAAAATTGGTGAATTCTCCCCCTAGTTGGCATCCCTGTATGGTGTGTAAATCACAGTAAGTAGACCATTTGCAAAGATAGGATAAGATTACAGCATAAAGTGAGTCAGGTTGCATATAAAACGACGCGATTCAAGGGTACAGCTGACAACTCTGGTCCACTTAATCGACACTCTGTGCCAGACCCTGCTGAAGGGGAAAATGCGCTAGAAGTATCTGCATAGGAGTTAGTTAGGAAAAAATCTATGAAAAAAACGAGATGCTTGGAAGGACATGGAATTTGCTGATCACCTTTCTAAAAGTGAATGGAAAAAAATTCTCAGGTCGGGGCAAATCAAGTTTGAAACAAAAGAAATAAAGCAAATTAAAAAATAAACCTATGTATTGTACATATGTGTTTGAAAAAATCCTGATGGTAGAAAGTACTTCGTAAATAAATTAGCTAGGATCCCTATTGGAACGCGCCCTCGCTTCAAAATATATTTTCAAAGGTCTGCTGAGAACTATAGATGGTAATGTAACTCACTTAGGAATACAAAAAGTACGAACAGCTAACAAAAAAGTTAAATGAACCAAATCCAAAGCAAATATAATAAACAATATTATATCAATAAGAATATCTAAGTAGTAGTAAGAGTAGTGAACACAACGATATATAACTGCATTTATGTAGCTGCTAATTTTAATACTGCTCTAGGAAATGATAAATTTTGAAGCGCAAGAAGAGATTATTTAGCAGAAAGTAAAATTTTTTGTTTTAGAAATTCAACGCAATTATTTCAAAACTCAAATGTATGCAAGCATATTAAATCTTAATTTTATAAAAAGCTTAAGCGGAACACCAAAAAAGCGCACTAAAACGAATTTATTTTTCACCTTGGATATGTCCTTTCTTTCAAGTAGCTTTAGAGGAGTTAAAAAAGTTAGAAATTATAAAACGGTGGCATCAAAAATTTTCAAAATAAGGTAAGGCAAGCAATTTTTGTTTGTTTTTTTTTTTTTAACGAGATTAAAAACGAAAAAATTTAAAGCATAAATTTACTTATGTAAATAAAATCTTCAGTTCACTCACCTTATGCTATTGCTCCGATTCAGTCGTGGACTCTGCACATACGGCGACTCACTGCCCGCACCGCCCATGCCTGCAGCGCCACCGCCTCCTCCCTGTGGCATTACACTCGCCGCCGCTGCTGCTGCCGCTGCGGCTGCTACTGCTGCGGCAGCATTACGATGTTGCAACATTTTGTGACTATGGCGTGTCATTGCTGGTGAACCAATTTGCATATTCTCCAGTGAATCGCCCTCAGAGAGACGACTGCCAGCGGTATTGCTATGCTTTAGCCACATGGCATATGTGCTGTATTCGGGCTTTACCTCGGCATAAGTTTGCGTGTCCGACAATGAGCCATCGATCAATTTGCCAGGACGATTGGATATTCTGAAAGGCGAATGGGAAATACATATTTCATGTGCACATAACTATTTTTTGCTTGCATTAATGCTTTATAAAAAGTGTAGCTGTGGATAATTCATGGAGTTATCGTAATAAATTAGTAAAATAATCGCAATAAATGTGTACAATTAGTGGTGTTTAACGGCAATTAGTTAGCCGCATATGTTGATATAGGGTGTATCAAATTATGCAACTTTTCTTTAAAGGACAAACTGGCACATACAGTGACAGTCATTTGAATAGCGCCGCCTTTTGATCCTCAGTATTTAGAAATTTCCTTTTGCTTATTTAATTTTCATTAATTTTAAATAAAAAGAACAGAGCATATTATAAGTATAATCCGATGCTCAAATTTTATACAAAAGTTATAAGACCCATTGCAAATTTTTTTTCCAAAATTTCAAACAAAAAAAAATTAGAATTTTGAGTTTTATAACCCGTTATTTTTAGTATAAAAGATGCAAGTTGAAAACAATCGCGTTGAATTTGAAAATTATTATAAATCTTGTATGAAGCTTGAAAATTGGATTTACAAATATGCTACATATTTATAAAAAATCAATGAATATTAAATAAACAAAAGAAAAACCTGTGGCCTGTTTTTTGTTTATTTTACTTAGATTAGTTTTGTTTACTTAAGTTCTCATTGTATTATTTTTTAATTTAATTTAGTCTCCTTACACTATTTTTCGCTATGAATTCAATAATTTTGAGACACCCTATAGTGAACCTGACTCGCGTCAGACATTAAGCATAATTAGCCAGTGGTGCAAAAACACATTAGCGGTTAGCATGGCTGCAGCACATTTTTGCTTTTGCTAAACATTAATTTTAATATTTATTTTTAAATTTTATTTATCTTAAAATTTTGTCAGCGCACATTCCGTTGACGATAAATTTAATTTTGCTGCATAGAAAATTTTGCTCGGCATTTTATGTTTGTCTCTCTTTTGATGCATCATTGTGCTGGGTTTTGTTGGAAAACAAAAATTAATTACATTTATTTTGAGCAAAGAAAACCACAATATTTGTAGTAATATAGTATGTGTGCACAATAGGGTGCGTCAAATTGTTCGGACGAAAGTTTTTGCACAAATCGTATGGTATATCCGGTTCTATAGATAATTCTAGGAGAAAATGTAGAATAAACTAGAAGTCAGAGATGAGTTTCTAGCACGCGCATTTAAAAAAAAAAATCTGTTCCCCTTTTTAATTTTAATTAATTTTTTAAGTTTAAAATTCACAAAATGGATATATTTATGTACTTTTTATACATGGTTTAATTTTGTTTATGCGCATACACTCAAATATTATAATTTTACATTACAGTGTTTAATTTGTTTCATCAGTTGCAGAACAAAACTACCCGCACTGACAGCTAACAGAATTTTAAACAACAAAATCGGAAAGGATGAACATTTGTGCTAATGAATAAATAAACAAATAAAGCAAATGCAGGAAACTAAAATGCAGACATTTTATATACAAAAGTTAAAAAAAAAGTTAAAAAAAAATACTATATCGTGAAAAGGTATTTTTTTCAAAAATGCACAGGCCCGAAACTCATTTCCGACCCATTGGTTTCTTCTACACTTTCTCTTAGAATTATTTGGAGAAGCAGAAAATACAATACGATTTAGTAAAAAAATGACCTACCCTAATGTACAAGCATAAAATAACTATTATTTCGGACTCATGTGTGCCGCAATGCAGTAATTATATGGGCAATGAATTTGTGAGAGATATCAAAGGCTATCCAGCCACTTCACAAATTTTGATTATTATTTGGCAAATTAATAGTAAAGTTTATGATTGGATTTGAGGTAGAGGAAAATGAATGGGCCTCTAAGGATACTAGCGATAATAATTCCTATTATATTCTGGATTAGAGAGACTATTTAGCGTTTTTGCTGCGCTTGTTAGGGAAAATTGCCTCTTTACATATACACAGTACACCGTATCACCTTACAAGCAAACAAAAAACGTTCGCCGTACACCTTTTATTTAAAATAATTTTATAAGACAATTTCGAAAAAAATATTCTACTGGAATAATACAAATACTTTCTAAGCAAAAGTTTAATGATTATTGAACAGCTGTAATATACTCACATTAGGATGGTACGTTAGGGTGAAAGGAACTGAGATCTGGTTGGTAAACTAGAACGGGGTAAAAAGGCGAAAAAAGTCCAAATTTCCTTCGAATCGAAATACTTCCTTAGCAAAAGTTTAATGGTTTTCGGCGAGCTTTAATTTACTGGCATTGGGGTGGTACGTTAGGGTGGTAGGAACTGAGATCTGGTGGGTAAGTACTTGGAATTGCCTGACAAAAATACTTTAGATGAAAGGATGTACGGCGAACTTTTTTCCTGGTACAGTCTAATATACAGATACATATAGGTATAGATAACTTTTCAAAGAATTTTTCGTTACGAAATTGAAAAATTTGTAACTTCAGTTAAGATGTGAGTTAAGTTCTCAAAATCTTTACTTACTACTAGAATTGATTTCCACACAGATACCAATTAGCTCTTACCTATGCTGAAATAGATGCAAATCCGTGCCCGGTTTCGGTAAACTATGAGAACCAGTAGCTAGACGTTCACGTATCGATTGGCTTAACTGGGTAGCGCCGGGACCAGTCAAAGAAAAGCTGCGATGCTGAGCACTGGGAGGAGCTTCTGGAAAATTTAAAGTTTTTTTTATTATTAAAATGTAGGTAAAACTATAAATAAATGACTATTAAGTAAGAAAGAAGTTAATTCTAAATTTGAAAAAAAAAAATTTAAATTTTTATTATAAAAGATCGAAATCAGAAGAAAGATCTTATTTCTAAATACAAAATTGCATCTGCGGGCTCAACAACGATACAAGTCCAATATCAGTATTTTGTTATTAAAATCAAAAACCGCACAAGTCACGCACATACACCGCTTTTCTACTCATTTCACGAGTTCAATCAGCTGTGCTACGTGGACGGCTATGTATCTAGTATGGTGACATGTGAGAGAAAACACGTACATGTCCGTGATTTGAACGGGTTTTGATCTTAACAAAAAAAAATTATTTTGGACTTGAACGGTTGTCCAGCACACCGATTCAATTAGTGAATAGTAACGCGTAAAATTTCGATAAGTTACAAAAAACAATCTAAAACTATCTCACATGCGAAAATGCATATCGGACCTTTATATGAAAAATTCTAATAATTTTTTTTCAGTGTGGTTTAGGTAGGTTATCATGAGGAAATTTATAAATTATAAAACAAAAAAAATGTAAGTAATTTTTTAAGTCTAATAAATTCGGTTCAGAAAGCTTTAAACAATATTTGAACACCCAAATTCATAAAAATAAAGAAGATTTTAAGTGCTTGATATATCGAAAATTTGCATCAAAATGTCCTTTATAAAGTTTTTAATAAAATTTTTTTATTAGTAAGGTCAAACATTTTTATTATTTTTCTAAATCATTAACCGGGTTTTTGTGTATTAAGATAACGACATTTATGAACTTCTTCGTATTCCTTATTTAAACGAAAGATAAAAAAAAAAACATTATTTCGTACTCAACTCACTTGACATATCGTTGGGCAGCGTTTGCGTACCGCCCGACACCTTCCGTCCGCCAGCACCACCACCCCCACCAGTGGAGGCAGTGCGTGGCACCGCTGATACATGCGCTGTACGACCCATGCCACCGCACATGCCACCCGGCGAACCGGCAGCACCACCACAACCACCATTTGCTAGACCACCACCGCCGGCACCCATCATTGCTGCGCCCATCATTGCTATATTTTGTTGCTCTGCCGTTGCAGTAGCACTGCCATTGGCACGCTTGACATAGCCAAAACTGGGCGGTACACCCTTTGTCCGACCGGACGGTGAACCCTGCTTGGAAGAGCTGCCACTACCGCCGCCCATGCTGCGCCTTGAAGGCGATGACTTTTCAGATTTCTCGCCTTTGTTATGGCCATGGCCATTTAGTGGCTCCGGCATTTTTGTCCAGTTATCACGCCCATTACGTGAATTCGAGCGATGTACGCCCACAACGCCGGCATTGGAATGGTGCGCATGTTGCGAATGCTGATGTGTGTGATGTTGTGGGCTGGCATTGGCGCTGGTATTGCCAGAGCCGCCGCCGCCGCCGCCGCCGCCGCCAGCACCGCCGCCACTGGCGCTGTCCATTTTTGGATTTGAGCCACCGCTCGAGCTGGCCTGTGAGGCAGCAGATGAAGGTGGTGCGGTTCCGATGCTATCGAGACTGCCACGGCTGTTACGAATGCTGAAAAGAGGCAGAAAGGGAGAAAGAAAATGAAAAATTCCTATTGAATATCGAGTTTCACAAACAAAAAATTGCATTGATGTAATTAAAAAAATATTTGCACATAAACTTCCAAGCAGGGCTTGACAATAAATGAACCTATTCATGAAATTCGATTTAATTAATCTCAAAAAATAAAAATAAATTTGCTAAAACTTTTGCCTTTGCTTAATTTTTCCCTGCATTCAATTCAAAGCATTTCAAACTTCTTATCAGCGCATTTTCAATTCCCATCACACAACTACTTTGCCATTTTTCTATTTATTCAAAGAGCACAGAGTTGGCTGATTCATTGTACAAGCAAATATTTGCATTTATATGAGTTTATATGCTTGTAAAAAGATTCACATACACTACACATAAGTACATATTTTAAGTATTTACTCAGAGGTCAAAAGCTGCAGCCAGTGTTGTTGACACTGCACTGCCTCGCATTGCATTCGCGAATTGTTGTAAGCAAGCAAACAACAGCTGCAACAGCGGCAAACAAAGGAAGTCAAATACCCCAGCTGGTACGTCTGTCCGTTTGTGCGATCGTAGCGTTCCTACCGCTTGCATAGCGCCCTTACATACATACATAGTATGTTTTTGTAAAATTTTCATTTGGCGAATATGCCTAGTGGCACAGTTTAAAACATTTGCATTTGTTATTGTTGTCATGGCAACACAACTGCCTACAATGTGTTAAGTATCGATTTAATTTTTTTTCGCGAACTGCAGAAAAACGAAAAGAAACTACGTACATATGTACAGTATGTTGGGAAAATTTAAAATAAAAATATTTTTTCAATGGTATAGAATGAGCTCGTTGGAAATAATTGGACACTACTTTTCATTACCTTCTGTATTAGGGTTACTCTAATTTTTAAAAACTAAGTTGATATATAGGCACCAAATAAATTTGTCTACATCTGTTGTGAGGAAATTTAGTGATAGGTACGAAAGCTTGAACTTGAGATCTACTTATATCTACATATATTTAACATCGAGGCTTGAACCAGAGATTTCACCGCCCTATCCTTCTTTGAGAAAGGACCCAGTGGAACCTAGCACCGACGTGCAATGATCAGGGACCGAAATTAACCGTTAAATATCAATTGCATTTTTATGACCGATTTAAATCGTTTATGACCTATAAAATTAAATATGAAAATAACGGTAATATAATTTATCGAAAGAATTAAAACCATAAAATAAAGGCCAAATTTGACCGAAAAAATTAAAATCCAATTTTAACAGTTAAATTATGATTTATTCTATAAAGACCATGACTCTTATGGTCCCTGACAGTGATAGATCCTGGCCGGATAAAATTCAAGTTTATAGAATAATTTGAGCCTTCGTGACTTGTGCTAGTAAACCAACTTCAGGGACATCAAATCTCGCATCCGCCTTTCTACAACAGTACAAGCAGGGTTGCCATTTTGATAAATTGTTACTAAAATTGGTAGAAAAAAATTAAGGCTGGTAAAAGGGTAAATTTTTTTATATTTTGGTATAAGTATTTTGTTTGAAAAATAAATATAAATTTTCGTTCCCGCTTTATTTTTCGTAGCTATCTTTATATTATAAATTTCTTTCCAAAAGTGTAGTATACTTTATTGCATTAAGTTTCGAAAGCTTTAAGGCACACTTTTCATATAAACACAGATGTATGCATAGCGAGAAAAAGCTTATTTTACTAGAATCGTTGGGAGCTTTTGATTGTCTAAATATTTTAAAGGAATCTTTAAATAAGAAGAAAAAATGTGCACGATTGTTCGCAAAAAAAAGCCAACGCCAGTTTTTATAAATGGCAATTGTTAAATGCGAAAAAAGCGTTTGAAAATATTAGCTGGACATACCCAAAAAAGTTCTGAAAATTCAGAGAAAAAAGTTCAAAATTTTGACGAAAAATGTTTCATTTATTCTAAATGTTGTATATATTTAGCTTGAATCCTTGATTTTTAAGGGTTTACTTAAAGCGCCACCATATTCTTATACAACAAAAAGTTCCTTGATACAAATTTTTATTTTTTATTGAAATCACTAAAAAATAGAACAAAAGAAGTTATTGGTAGATATTTTCCTGATTTGGTAGATTTTTTTCAAGTGGTAAGTATTTTTTCTCGTCAGTGTCAACCCTGAGTACAATGTCACCTTACGCTTATACCCTCATAGGATAGCCTGTTGTTTAGGATAGACTTTATAAGAGATCGTTCGCGGAATAGCGCTGCTGGTAGCACCATATCAATACTGGTCTTATTTCGGAACTGTAATACGCCTCTCATGCTGGGTTCGTCTTCCGAAGTACTTGACCTCAAAATATTGCTTTAGTTGTGTTGAGAAAACTATGTGAAAGCAATTTTCAGTGCTCAAAATTTATGAGTTTAAAATTAGTATTTCTTTCGTCATAAATATGATTCTGAGACCGGTCGACCAGACCGACTCATTTCAGACTCTTTCGGTGTCATAAATTCTTAGTTGAACAAAAGTAACAAAGTTCACCTAGAAGTAAAAGTTTATTAAAAATCCCTCTCTAATATGACTCCTAACGAGGACTCATATTGGCGTGCTATTTTCTGACTATATTTTGAGGTCACAATTAGGGTTACAACTCAGAATTTTGAGACCTTTCTGATTCTAAAATGAGTCCGATTGTTCATAGGGACGTTGTTCAAAAAAAATCTCCTAAGGTGAGAAAAAATTCACAAAATTTAGTAAAAAACAACAGCAGAAAACTTAGAATAGTTTTAAGTGGAAATGTTTCTTCAAGATATTAAATATTTTAGAATGTCTACACATGCCCAAGCTAAAGTAATGCCTTCTAGAAGCGAAAGAGGAAACGCTTGCCAATTTTTTTCGATTCCAAATTCGTTTCTTAGGTCAATACATTACCACAAGAATAAATTGCTGGGTATCTCATGCGCAAGTAGTTTTGTTGAGTACCATGCTCATAGAAATATTCTAACATGTTGTGGTCATATTGGCAGCTCTACGAACGCTGTGCATCACGCTCTAGAGAAGTAGAAACACCGAAATAGGAGGAAATAGGGAAGCACTGCCAAGCCGATGGATAGCTAAAGATGATTAATAAAAATGGCTGAATAAGCTAAAAGTATTTCAGTAAGCGTAGATGACGGTAATGTCTTAAACTACTTTCAAAAAATATAGTGGCATAGTCATCTTTAAAATAAAGGCGGATGTACCCAGTAAGCATTTGGGTTGGCGATCAAGTCGAGATCCAATAAAAATTCTAAGGTTCAAGTATACCTCAAATGGAGAACCAAAAGCTTGGATATCATTTTGAATTAAAACTTGATTCAACTTTTAGTCAAGCCTGGGGAAAAATGTTGGAGAAAAAAGTTTTATATCCACTTGAGAATCAAGAATTGCTCAATGATTGGAAAAATGTTTGCTTTCCGCATATAGGGTAAAATTCGTTGCAGCTTTTTGACATAATTTTCAATCGAAATTTAAAAAAAAACTGCAACTAACTCTAAGCGTCGACTTTACTTGCGGCTATGATTATGCCCATAGTGACGAAGTTCTATTCAAGTACGAACACCCCTACGAGTACTATTTTTAGCTCACTACTCTTTTTTACTCAGTTTTTATTTTTATTCGTATTGCTTAATTGGTAGATATCAACAGGCCAAAAAATTGTATGCCTTGCAAACATTTTCCTCTGTCATAGTTGACATATTTATGGGTGTATTAAATATACATAATTTATTATCATACTATACGCTTGATGGCATATTTGTGCTTTGCTAGCTGGAGCAATGAACTCTTGACTTATAATATTAAAGAGAGCTATTTGTACAAACACTTTGACCATTCTAACGAGTTTATGCAAAATATAACTGTGCAAAAAAGCTCTCTACACGGAATATATTTATTCTGATCCTCCGTTTGTAAATAAGGGCAACACCTGATTTTAATTAAAAAACTTTTTAAGTTCAGTACGGAATTCGAAATTGCTAGTGCGGAATTGCTGGAATTAATGGAAATTACTTAAAATTTGAAATTCTCCAAAAGATGTCCTTGTACCAAATTAAGTTTCTGCTTATTCCGCCTGCTTGTATTATTTTCAGTATAGATGAGCATATCAAATAATGAATTATACTTACTTCATAACCCTTTGCAACTGCATTTGCGTTGATAATAGCGAAAATTTCATTTCAATTGAACAACTCAAATAAGAACAAAACATTCACTCAGTACAATCAGAGCGCTGAATTCAAAGGATATGCAGTTATGCAAATGGTAACAGCTTACACACAGCCATTGCAACAAAACAAACAAAATATTAGCAGCGATGGCTGAAAATCAAGGGAATATGGAAATCGTTTGATAATGAAATTTCGAAAACATACATACATATGTATGTATACTTAGAAGCAAAAATATTCGAAAAAGAAAGAGAAACGACAAACGATCGATAAAATTATAGAAAATATAGCAAAAAATCGAAAGATGGAAGAAGAAGATAGAGAAGCTCATTGATGTTTGAAGGACCAAGAAGTCTGGCAGACTGGAGCGTTATGTCTGCTAGAAGCTGACGAGCAATGAAGTGTTGTGCAGTCAGTGAAGCGCTGACTATGACTAGACTGATGGGAGAGCAAGTGCAGGGAAACGGATGCTATGGATGCCATCATGACGAACACACAAATATCAAAACTAAAAGTGCTTTGTGAATGTAAAATTGTATGCATATAGAAAAGCGCATTTGTGTGCAATCATGCAGCAATGTTTTGAATGGTTTCAAAATATCAGAAGTGTTGCGGCAACTGCAGAATTTCGGGCGACTGCAATAAATTTGTGGTTATCCACGAGAATGCAGCTACACAAAATATGCGGTGACAGCGGAGAGCAGAGCAGTAAGAGGCAAACATCATGGTTGACTGGAATGAATGCAAAGGCATTTTACAATTAGGATTGATAAGCAGAACTGTGGTGCTCAGTGGTTCATTTGAATA